ACCCCAGGCTGGGCGACAGAGTGAGACTCCGACTCAAAAAAAAAAAAGTAAACTTGGGCCAGTGGGGCAGAGAGGATGGAGAAGCACAGGCCCCAGTGAGGCCCAGGCAGAAGGTCTGGCCAACACCCCCGAGTCCAGGGAAACGGTGACTTTGAAGAGAAGAATTAAGTCCACCTACTAGACACATCACTTCGTTTTCTATCTCATCCAGGATGTTCCACAAGGGTTTTGAGGAAAGGAAAAAAAAAAGAGCCGACTGATCCCATTGCCAGATAAGCCAAATTCCTCCATGTAGTATTCCCCATCTGGAGAGGCACAACAGACATCGGCAAAGCAAATGCTCCAATAAATTCTGCAGAGAACCCTGTTTTGTTTATCTAGCCTGGCATCCTCACTCCTAAATGACCATGAAACCTGCCGCTTTCCCCAGGCACCTGTTGACACTTCACGGAACTCAGTTGAGGTGCTGGTACAGAGCAGAGGTCAAGCTTTTTCTGTCAATAACATTTCTGAAAATACTAAAATATTTTCAGCTTGGCAAGCCATACAGTCTCTTACGATTACTCAACGTTGCTGTCAGAGCATAAAAGCAGCCCTGTACTTAAACAAGTAGGTGTGGCTGTGTGCCAATCAGACGCTATTGATGGACAGGGAAATGTAAATTTCATACACGTTCGTGTGACATGAAGTATTCTTCTTTTTATTTTTCTCAACCATTTAAAAATGTGAAAACTCTTCTGAGTTCACAGGCCATGAAAACACAACCAAAAAACAGGCTGCGGGCTGGATTGGTCAGCTGGGAATAGCCTACCAACCAAACCCTGAGAGAGTAACAGAAAGCTACGATGCCTTCTGGGACCCACTAAGTCTCAAGGACATGGAAAGGGGAAGAGGAACGGGGGAGGGGACATGGGCCACCGTCAGTGGGAGGAAGCCTGGTCTGGAAGGCGGGGGACCGGGGTGTGGCCCTGCCCTCTGCCGCCCCTCACACAGGATGTGGCCTCGGGTGAGGAATTCTGGTTTTCTGAAACAGAGGCAGAGGGGATGTTCTGGACAATCTGGGGGTTCCTCTCGCTTACCCAGACCTCCCACAGGCCTTTGAAATACTGGAACTGCTCCTGCGGCCACCCCCTCCCGCCGGCTCCCCAGGCTGGAGAGAGAGAAGGACGCCTACATCAGACGTGGACTAAACCAACCCCAGGATCTGGCAGGGTATTGCCCAAGCTCCAGACCAAAGCAGGGACCTCTGACAGGGAGGACAAGAGGCAACGCCCGGAACGATTTTTAAAAGGTCATTAAATTCGGCGACATTGTCTTAACCCACTCGGCAAAATCAAGCAGCAGGAAAGTAAGAAGAAAACGAAAAGCTGGGGAAGTGTCTGCAAAGAACCGAAATGGTGGAGCGAAGACCCATGACACATCAGGACACCACAGAAGGACGTGAGTGGGAGGAAGACGTGAATGGCGCGTGCAGACCAATGGGCCACCGCACGCAGAAGAGAAGGCGCGTGTCAAACTTCAAGATGTCATCTGTCACCTGTTGGATCCGCAGCCATCCACAAGTGTGAGGACCGGAACCAGCAAGAATGGAAGTGGGTGCCTTCCCACATTGCTGGGGCACAGAGGGATGGCCTGAAAGAGGGCCAGGTGGCACAATGTATCAGAACTACCAATACGAGGTCTGACAGTGAAGTTCACAAACCATCCTACGAAAAGTGCCACGTGCCTCACTGCTAAGTATCGCTACAGTCACTTTGAAGTATGCCCCTTGGGAAGCTGTGCACCAACGCCAGCACCTAGTTCCCCTGTCAGAGCAATTTTGGAACTCTTTCTGGAGTGGCCATCAGAGCTGTTGTTGTACTACCCTTGACGTCCTGAATTTCATAAAAATGTCTTCCTTTCAACATTTCCTTTATGTTCAGGTAAAGAAAAAAGTCAATGGGGCCAGATCAGGTGAGTAGGGAAGGTATTCCGATACAGTTATTTGTTTACTGGCTAAAGTCTCTCTCACAGATAGTGCTGTGTGAGCTGGTGCATTGAGCACCTTAGGGACTGTTTTAAACACATCTTCTCATGCCGAGATTTTCAATTAAGATTTTCCTGTTTCTCTGACAATGTTATTGGGTCTGCTATGCTTCTCACAGTCAGCCGATGATTTTGATACACAATTCGGCAAATTTTTGAAATGTTTTGACAGTTCTGCTCATGACTGGCAGTCTTAACCTCTCTTCATCAGTGATGCTTTCTCTCCTCTTAGAAAAATGTTTAATCCATTTGCACACAGCTGTTTTCTTCATGGCACTCTGCCCACAAACTGGGACAAGCATGTTTCTGATTTCACTTCCACTCTTGCCAAGTTTAACAATAAATCTAACATGTGGTCATTGCTCTAATTCACACTCTGACATCCTCACAACGGCACACAAAAACATGCAACAACAATAATGAATGCCACTCAGCAAGATACTGCCACACATCAACACAAGTACAGCTGTGAGACACGGATATACCAAGGTTATGAGACCTCACCAAGTTGTTGGCACAGTGCTGCCAGTGTGAGCGCACAGTGGCAAGTTTGCAAACTTAATTGTCATACCTTGCCGACGATGTCACTTTCAGAAACTGATCCTAGAGCTACATTCACTCAACTTAGAACTGGCCTGGGCACCAGAGTTTCCTATAGCAGCTGTTTGTGGGAACAAAAGGCTAGAAAACGCCGAGACAGCCAACCCAGGGGCACTGGATAAGTCAATGTTAGTGGTAATGCTAATAATGACAGCTGGGTGCAGTGTATCAAGCCTGTAATCCCAGCACTTTGGGAAGCCAAGGTGAGGGGACTGCCTGAGCCCAGGGGTTCAAGACCAATCTGGGCAGGTTGGCAAGACCTCATCTCTACAATAAATTTAAAGAAATTTTAGTCAGGTGTGGCAGTGCGCGCCTATAGTTGTGGCTACTTGGAAGGCTGTGGTGGAAGGATCGCCTGAGCCCAGCAGGCTGACGCTGGGGTGGTCATGAGCATGCCACTGCATTCCAGCCTGGGCAACAGAACGAGACTCCAACCCCCAAAAATAAAAATAAAAATAATGATGATGACGGGTCTCATTCAGGGCTGTTCAAAGCCATTGATACTCAAAGCATGAACCAGGGACCAGCAGCCCCTGGGGTCTGGGGACTGTCTCCCCTGCACTCCAGGCCCAATGAGTCAGAAGCTGCATTTGGCCAAGATGCCCAGGGGATTCCTGTGCACATGATGGCACTATTTTCTAAACTCTTCGCATATTCACTCATGAAGTCTCATCACAGCCCAGAGGCCTGGGGCCTCTCACTGCCTGGGTGTGAAAGACGAGGAAGTCAAGGCCCTGGCACGTTAGGGAAGCTGGCCAAAGTCACGTGGTGTGTGAGCAGCAGAGTTCCATGGACACCAAACACATCAGCCAGGAACAAGGATGCTCTTTAGGGGTCGACAGGACCAGTGTCTGAGACAAGCTGTCAGGTGAAGGGACGCCATATATACCAGGCTCTGCCACTATGGGAGAGGGAAATAAAAAGGAAAGCAGAATCTCTATATAGTTGCTTAAATACCCAGGGAGTATCTCTGAAAAGATACTCGGTACTGTGGAGACAGCAGTTGCCCATGGGAAGTGGAACTCAACAGCTGGGGAAGGAAGTCAGAGGGAAACCATTTACTGTGACACCCTTCCACAACGTCTGACTTTGGCGCTGTGGTCGTGTATTACCTATTCAAAAGCCAGTGAAATTTTTTTTTTCTTAAAAATGGTGGAAAGAAGCAGCGATGCACCCAGAAACCATCGTCACTTAATTAGAAACAACTATGAGGGGGGAGAAGTTAGCACAGCCAGGCCCACCCCAGTTCCCCACTCGTCTTCCTTCTGCCCTTCTCAAAGAGGCAGATTTGTCGTGGGGAACAAGAGGTGACAGGAGAGGGAAGAGAGGGCACGCTGACCATGGGTTCTCCAGGAACCTGGGACTCAGAACCACATTTTCAGGTTCTAATGTGGAAAGGACTCATGCCTCACACCAGGAGCAGCTCTGCCTGCAGGGGACACCCCACAATTTTGGGGTGTCACAACTGAGAGCTGCTACTGGTATTTAATGGGTAAGAGACCAGGGGTGTTGTCAAACATCCTACAGCACACAGGACAGCCTAGAGTGTCCTGTGTCCTGGGGGTCACCTCAGGGCTTTAGTTTTAGCACAGATTCAGATGTAGCAGGTCTCGGGTAGCCTCAAGAGTCTGCATATCTTTTTTTTTTTTTTT